GGGGGGGACCTATCAAATGAGGTGCTATCTTACTTCTTAACATATTGTGCATCAGAATGTTTTCAGATATTGTTTTTTTTTCTTTCCTCTGGTTATAATTGTGACATGATATCTTGATCTCTTCATCCTGAATAACATTGCTTGGTTATTCTTTTCTTTACTAAATTGACTTTGAAGAGTATCTTCTCCTCATCTGTCATGTTAAACACCCTCCTTTTGAATGCTTTGTGTTGGATATAAGGTTTGGGTCGTGGGTCGCTCATGTGGACTGACCCGACCCGTTTTAAAAAGAGATAAAAAAAGGGGATAAAACCTAAGGAGGTTACACGTAGGTTTTTACTCCCAAAAACTACCGCACGTTTTCTTTTGAGAAACGTGAGAATGTGGGGTAGTAGTTATCATCGGAAGTTCTCCCCATCTCTTCTTTATATACTTCTCTTCAGTACAGAGATTCATAGGTGCAGAAAATTGAAAAAGGAAGAACACAGTGAACTTTAGGCATTTAGTTTGTGAACAAAAACTCTGTTTCCTGGAGATTCAGAATACGATTTGGGGCAATTCTTTTGGTGGTGAGTTCAACGGTTTCCGCTGCATCAATAAGGTACACAATTCGTTGTTCTCTCCCCTCGGTTTATTCTAACATTGGTATCAGAGCTAGGTTTTCGCCAGTACGATGGGTGGGTACCCAGAACGAGGACGTTGTGTTCCTGTTGGTGGGGTGAGTGCAGTGGGACTGTAGCTCGCAGGAATCCCACATCAGAAATGGGAGGGGGAGTCCTGGGCTATATTAGTAAGACTTGGACTTACATGTGCATAGGCCTTTTCCCCAGTGGGACTGGGGGAGAACAAAACCGCGAGGGTGGGACCCAAAGCGGACAATATATACACAGTGTAGGCCCGGGTCGTTACAGTTGGTATCGATCCTGGGACCTGTGGGTTATGGGCCCAAACCTTATATCCAACATCTCCCACTTCGCACAGGTGGACTAGATCCAAACTAGTAACTACCGTGAAAGCAACACACATAATTCATACCGGCAAATAGTTCGTGCGACCTGCAAGCATTAAGAGCCATAATATTCTTAATCCCTTTAAGGTTGTTTAACAACTCTATGTAGAAATCCGATCACATGCGGAAGGGATTTACTACTAACATGAGGATCTTGTTACTCGCAATACCCCAGACATCACTTGCTACTCCAGTAGCTAGTTATTTAATCTCTCATCCTCGAAAGAGGTGAACTCGAGTTCAATTTTAACTTTATATTCATAATTACATTTGATACCCTCATGGTAAGTGTAATGGTCGACCTATGAATACAAGTCAAATTAAAAAAAATTATTTATTTGTCTTCCTTTTCTACTCGAATCTTTCCATTCCAAATCAACTGCTTTCCTAGACATGCACTGCATTGCCAAATCACTCATGGCTATTAGTAACATGCTAAAGTAGCAACACTGATTGACACTTCAAGAAACAGTAAAAGGTCAAAGGGTATTCCAATAAAAGTTAATGTAACTTCTTTGGGATCTCACACAATGAAGAAGCAGGGATTCATTCTTCCATTATCCCATTGGTCGATAGCACACGTGGTATGAAACACATGTTACGATGTTCTCACCTTATATTGGCGCGTGTGTCTTATTCTTTTAATCATTCAACACCGTACAGATCTTGGTCTAGACACCTCCAAATGTCTAACCCGAGTTTCTCACTTCAATAATCCTCAAACCATCTTCTTAGAGAAACTTGCATCTGGCTTACAAAACAAGTCATAATCGAATATTGAAATTTATAAGTCTGATTAGTTATCAAGATCGACCTTTGCAAGTAAATATAACCTCGTATTATCCAAGGTTTTATAAGATCTCATCTCTTCACGATTCTTAACGTAAGAGGCGATTGCTCGTGTGAGAGAGCCAATCTCGCGACTTGTTCAACACAATTATCAACAAAATATTAATCACATGCATACGAGATATAAGCACAAATTCAAGAGTCAAATATTGATGAGCATATTATAATAATAAAGTCATTTTACAATACATAAATATGTTCATATCCTTCGTAAACCTAGAGCCATAACATGTTTCTCAAACAGGTCTCTAGATATCGCCTTTGTAAAAGGGCCAGCTATCATGCTTCGCGTAGGAATGTACTGTAAATTTATCTCTCCACTTGCTACCATGTCTCTTACAAAGTTATACTTGATGTCAATGTGTTTGGTCTTGTTGTGATACTTAGGATCTTTTGTATATGCAATAGCCGCTTGACTATCACAATATAGAGTCATGGGACCCTGAGAGTTCTTTGTAATATCCAAATGCTCAAAGAATCTCTTCAACCAAACAGCTTCATGTACTGCAGACGCACAAGCCACGAACTCAGCTTCCATTGTTGAAAGGGCTGTACAGGTTTGTTTCTTACTTTTCCATGATATAGCACCACCATTAAGTAAGAAGGCATAACCGGATGTTGACTTTCTATCATTTCGATCACCAGCCCAATCAACATCTGTATATCCTCTCAAGTATAAATCATTTCCACTATAACATAGTGAATAATCTGCAGTTCCCTTCAGGTATCTAAAAATTCTCTTCACAGCTTTCCAATGATCTCTTCCAGGATTGGATTGATACCTGCTAACCAGACCTACGGCATAACAAATGTCTGGGCGAGTACACATCATAGCGTACATCAAGCTCCAAACAACACTTTAATACGGAACTCGACATGTCTTCCTTTTCATTTTCAGTCCTGGGACACATTTCAAGGCTTAAAGTTTCACCTCTCGTTATAGAAGTATCCAGGGATTTGCAACCATTCATGCGAAAACGTTCCAAAATTTTCTTTATATAAGTTTCTTGAGATAGACTCAATAACTTTTTGGGACGGCCTCTTTTGGATCTTAACTCCAAGGATATAGTCTGCCTCGCCTATATCTTTCATGTCAAATGACTTTGAAAGCCATGACTTGATAGTTTTCAAACACTCCAAATTGTTTTCGGCCAATAAAATATCGTCCACATAAAGAGAAAGAATTACAAACATCCCATTGGACTTCTTCACATAAATGCAATGGTCTTCATCGATCATGGTGAAATCATATGAGATCATTTCCTTGTGAAATCTCAAATACCATTGCCTTGAAGATTGCTTTAGACCATAAATAGATTTCTTCAATTTACAGACCTTTTCTTGGCCTTTAACGATGAAGCCTACAGGCTGTTCCATGTAGATTTCTTCGTTCAGTTCTCCATTAAGAAAAGCTGTCTTCACGTCCATTTGATGTAATTTCAAATCCAAACGTGCAACAATAGCCAAAAGTAAGCCAATTGAGGTAAACTTCACAACTGGTGAAAATGTTTCCTCATAATCTATTCCAGCTTCTTGAGTAAAGCCTTTTGCCACCATCGTGCCTTGTATCTTTCTATTGACCCATCCGCTTTATGTTTAACTTTGAGAACCCATTTGTTCCCAATGGCTCTACGCCCAGGCGGAAGATCAACTAGATCCCAGACTTTGTTGGTTTTCATGGACTCTAATTCTTCTTTCATTGCTTTCATCCACTCATCTTTTCCAGGGCTCGATAAAGCCTCAGTCACAGACTTTGGCTCATCCATTTTCTGTGGGAGATACCAATAAAATATAATCTTCAATTTCATAAGTACGTTTGGGTATATTTTTCCTGGCACTCTTTCGTAATGAAATTCAGGTTCGTCAGAAGGATTTTGGGATTGAGAGTTCCCACTCCCACTCGGATCAAGATTAAGATCTTGATCAATTTGATTATCAACTGTGTCAGAAGACACTTGCTGACTATCTGAGTTTAACATTTCATAAAGAGGCTCTCCATTCTTTACCTCGCTCTTCTTTGGAAAATTATTTTCCAGAAATGTGACATCTCGTGATTCAATCTTAGTAACACTTCCATCTTCTAATTCACCAATGAACACATACTCTTTGGAGTGTTCTGAATATCTTATAAAGATACATTTCTTGCCTTTTGGACCTAATTTACCAAACTTGCTAAAAGAATATTTTACATATGCAGCACAACCCCAAGGTCGTAAATCCTTTAAGTTTGGTTTATGACCAGTCCATAGCTCATAAGGAGTGGAAGAAACTGATTTAGAAGGCACTTTGTTCAATATATAAGTTGCAGTCAATAACGCATCTCCCCAAAAGGAGATAGGTAAATTTGCATGCGCCATCATGGACCTTATCATGTCCAGTAGTGTTCTATTCCTCCTTTCTGCTACACCATTTTGTTGAGGTGTGTATGGAATAGTTAATTGTCTGGTGATTCCCTTTTCATTACGCAATCCTTCAAATTCTTTCGAAAGATATTCACGCCCTCTATCGGTTCTTAAGGTCTTAATCACTTTGTCTAATTGATTCTCAACTTCATTCATATATTTCTTAAAGCATTCAAGTGCTTCAGATTTATGAGAGATCAGATAGACATAACCAAAGCGTGTGAAATCATCAATGAACGTAATGAAATATAAAGCACCAGACCTAGCCCTCACATTCATTGGACCACATATATCAGAATAGATTAATTGCAATGGAAAATGAGCTCTTTTAGCCTTTCCAAATGGTTTACGTGTAATCTTTCCGCAAGACAATTTTCACAAGTTGGCATTTCAATTTTAGAGAAAGGACCTAGATGTCCTTCATTAGCCAATCTATTCATTCGATCCTGCCCTATGTGACCTAATCTTGCATGCCATGTAATAACATCAACATCATTGTTACTAGAATAACATGCCATAACACAACGGTCAACATAATAGTTATACGTAGAAGGATTAAAATCTAACACAATAAAACCATCATAACGATGTCCATAACCATATAAAACATTGTCTTGAGTAATTCTAAGATCATTGCGACTAAAGTTCAGATTGAAATCTAAATCTAGAAGAACAGACACAGATACTAAGTTTCGTCGAA